TCTTAAAAGGGCAGTGAGTTAGTCATTTAATTCACAACACCTTGATCCTCCCATCCCGACCATAGAGACAACTGCTTGTTGTTGCTCTCCGTTCATCAACCATCCCATCCCATCAATATTTTCTTCTTGTCTTCAATCCCCACAAATTCGTCTTCCTTAATAAAAAGGGAAGACTCTGCTTGGTTTTTCACCCATTTTTTAATGTCATCTGAACTTGTTCCTTCTAGGGGATCAATATCGTATCTTTGATTCCTCTCTGTAATGTCTTTGATGGTTTTTGTGATTTTCTGTAACTTTTTGCCAATTTGACGCCTATACCAAAGTTTCTTTGGAATGCGAAAGGCTTTGTGGAGGCAGCTTGCAAATCGACCCCTATACTTCGGAATGTGAATGGTTTTGTGGAGCCACCTTGTAAATTGACTCCTATACCAAAGATACTTTGGGTTGTGTCTGGTTTTGTGGAGCCACCTTGCAAATCGACCTCTGTTCCAATGGTTTGGAAAGCAAATGGTTTTGCGGAGCAAGCTTGCAAATCTAACCCCACTCTGCAGCTCATGCTAGGGTTTGTGAGGGGGAATTTCTGCAGAATTTCAGATAGGATTTGTAGACGTACCTCAACCGTTGTGTGTAGCCATCTATTTATAGGAGCCTCAGAGGCTAGAGTTTCAGAAGAATACTTCCACAGATGGAAATGAATTATTCTTCCCAGATTTGGTGAGGTTGGTGTAATTAGGGATTTGATTTAAATCCCAATTAAATCAGGTAACTCCCAATTAAATCGAGTAACTCCGAGTTAGGTCAAATAATTCCCAAATTGATTGGCTTAATTATTTGACCTAGGATATGAGATATTTTGCTTCCACAACGCCTATACCAAAGTTTCTTTGGAATGTGAATGGCACTGGGGATGATGTGTCGTGAAAGCTTGTCCTAGTTGTTTTGGAAGGAGGTATGTAAGGTTTTATTTAATTATTTTTTTGGTCTCCTCGTTTTCCTTTTTCGTTTTTTATATATGCCTTGAGTTCCCTAGTCTTGCATCATATAAACTATTCTAGTACGAACTGTTGTCATCCACAAGTTTGTTAAGGCCATGTATTTTTGTCCATGGACTAAAGGTCTGCAATGGTTAGTTTCGATAGCACAAGAATTTTGTATTGAAATTCTGTTTGATTATCATTTTGCTTTTGTTGTTTGCCATGCAGAATCTAGTCTGAGACAGAAGGATTTTACCCAGTTGCGCCTAGAAGAACCCTTGCTTTCTTGTGTGAGGCTGCAAATCTTAATTATTTTCCATCACTATCTCAAGTTTTATTTGAAGCCATTTGATCATTAGTGAGTTTTGCTTTGAGACTGTGGAATCTTATGTAATTTGATTCATGAGTGTGTTTGCTATTTGATTATGTAATTCCTTAAGAAGCATTAATCAGGATCTAATGCTCAATTTGATTTTGAGAGTTTCCTATACACAATCAATGGTTTTGTGTCCTATTTTAACCTTTTTAGGATTAGGGACCGCTACCTTAGCTAAACACCCCCATACTTTGAGGTATTTATAGGAAGGTCTTCGTCCTTTCCATAATTCATATGGTGTCTTTTCCAATTTCTTGTGAAGTAATTTGTTGAGAATATGATTTGCAGAAAGCAAAGCTTCTCCCCACAAATTCTGGGATGCTCCAGAACTTATCAACATAGCATTCATCATTTCTTTTAATGTACGGTTCTTGCGTTCAGCAATACTGTTCTGTTGAGGTGAATAAGGAGCGGTAGTTTGGTGAATAATTCCATGTTGAGCACAAAACTCAGCTAAGGGTGCTACATATTCACCACCTCTATCGCTTCTTAAAACCTTAATTGTTTTGCTAAGTTGATTCTCAACTTCACTCTTATAATGTTTAAACATTTCTAAGGCTTCATCTTTTCTTCTAAGTAGATAGACATAGTAATATCTTGTGCAATATCTATAAAAGTAATAAAGTACTTTTTACCACCTCTAGTTTGCACAAACTTTAAATCACAAATGTCAATGTGAATTAAATCTAGACTTTCTGTACTTCGTTCTATAGAATGAAATGATGTTCTAGTAAGTTTAGCTTCAACACAAGTTTCACATTTTTTACTTGTATCAATATTAAACTTAGGTAATAAATCCATGTTAACTAATCTACGGATAGTATCATAATTAACATGTCCTAGTCTACGATGCCAAACATTTGGGGACTCAAGAAAATAAGCCGAACTAACTGTGTTCTTATTATTCATAGAAGGTATAATAGTCATTACATTCATCTTGAATAAACCATTATTCAGGTACCCTTTCCCCACATACATCCCATTGTTAGTGAGTACAAATTTGTCAGCCTCATAGACCAATCTAAAACCATTCTTACTTAACAGTGCTCCAGAAACCAAATTCTTTTGAATGTCAGGCACATGAAGCACTTGATTTAGGGTGAGTTCCTTGCCAGAAGTCATCTTCAGAACCACCTTTCCTTGTCCTTCAACCTTGGAAGCTGATGAGTTTCCCATGAACAATTGCTCCCCTTGGTTCAGTTGTTGATTGGTAGTAAACATCCTCCTATCAGAGCAGATGTGGCGTGTAGCTCCAGTGTCCACCCACCATTCCTTGGTATTGCTTACTAGGTTCACTTCAGAGATTACGGCCGAGAGGTTATTATCAGATATCTCATTGGACAATTTCTCCTCCTCAGTCATGTGAACTTCTGTGGTTTTTCCCTTGCTTAGACAGTTCGCCGCTCTATGACCATGCTTGTTGCAGTTAAAGCATTATCCTTTGAACCCTTTGTTCTTCTTTGAGTTCCCTTGGCTAGAGCCTTCCCCTGAGTGCTTTCTCTTTTTCTTGTTCTTTGGTCCATCCTCCACTACATGTGCTTTAGCCACCATGGAGTTACTGTTGTGGAAATCAAACAAGACTTTCACCCTCCCCTAATGATCTTGTTGTTGATGGACTTTGTGACACACACAATAATGGATGAATCACACACACACTCTTGAGAAACCAACCAAGCACAAAGTAACACAAGAATTTATAGAGGTTCAGCAATTGCCTACATCCTCTTGGTGATCCCCTTGAGAAATTCACTAATGAAAGAATAAGTTACAACTTTGGTTTACAAAGAAACCCCCTTAGAACTCTGTTCTCTCCCCAAGCTCTTTTTTCTCTCTCACCCCTTGCTCAACACTTTGATGCACTTGTGAACACTTTCTCACCCTTGGTGTTTCCCTCCCTTTGGTGTCTAGACTTACAAGACCCCAACACTTAGCTCCTAACTTGAGCTGATTGCACTCTCTTCCTCCCTTAATGGTTAAAACACCCTTGATGGTATTACCCTCACCCTTTGTGAACTTAATCACCCCTTGGAGAATAAAGACCACTCCCTTGGTGAACTTAACCCCCACCTTCAGCTGCCCTTGCATGCTCTTCTTTATAGACAGGCCTTGGACTTAGTAGAGGGCTGCAATTACTTCTCCACGTTCTTGCTATTAGCCACCCACCTAAACAAAACGTTAGGCAAACCCGAAAACAAGCCATAAAGCATGCACCCTTTGTCCCCCCATCTAGAAAACCTTTGATACAAGTCAACAAACAACATTCAATGGTGTTCCAGCTTTTAAGGCACGTTGCCAAACTTCCTAGAACCCATAAAAGACTTTGGAGGCACTTGGAGTTAGGTAGGGAACAAGTACATGTGAAGCCATCTTGAAAAAACGCATGAAAAAATGAAACAGCAACACTGGCGACCGGTCGTTGAAGACTCTGCCTGGCGACCGGTCGCCTGCCTCGTTTCTCCAGGCTTCGATTCTACTTCAAAACGACCAGTCGCTTTTCCCTTGCGACCGGTCGCCTCCTCCTTCACTTGTGCATTAATTTTGAGCCAATTTTACAACAATTACCACCGGTTTTCTTTTCAGAACCACGGTTGTCTTCCTCAATCCTTAGCCTCACGATTAGATCTTCAAGTTCCATCTCTTTGCGCTTATTCTTGAGATAATTCTTGAAATCTTTCCAGGATGGACCAAAGATGTTGCCAAGCAGCTCAAAGTAAGTCCGAATAGTTTATTTATTTATTCTCTAATAGATCAAAGAATTTTTTTATATTATTTGTTGAGATCTCTTTCGTTGCAAATGATGAGGGGGTTAGTGTGGCTCCTACCCTTTATTGTATTCTCCAATATCTTTCTTACGACTTGTTTGACTTTTTGGTCTTGAGTTTAGTGGCAAAATCAGACCCAACCTACTCTTCAAATTATATTCCTACCAAATGCACTATTTATGTAATAAATATGCATGACTATTCTTAAATCAGAGGCATTACATATTATACACACCGCTATGCATCAAGCTAAACTATATCTCCCTATTTAATTTTCAGGAACAACAAATGGTGATGCCTGGTCACCGTGAATCAAACTTGCAGAAGGAGTTGAACCGATACATTCCCGCACAGCTGCCGCTTTTGGAGGCATGTGCATTGGTGCACTGACAGTGTTGGCCGATTTCATGGGGGCGATTGGTTCAGGACCAGGAATTCTGCTTGCAGTCACAATCATCTATCAGTACTTCGAGACATTTGAGAAAGAGAGAGCCAGTGACAATTTGTTGCCACAATGGTTGGTCTCCCTGACAATTTTGGTGTGCTGAGAGATGTAAGTAGGTTTTAACAGCGAAGTTCAAGATATTAGGCTAGTCTCTTATCACTCCTTTGAAGAAAATACAAAAGCAATAAAACCTCAAAACATAGTGTTAATGGTTTCTTTTCTTTTTTGCATTTCCGCCACTACCATGTTTTTCATTGTCAAGTATCGTTGGATCTATGTAACACTATCAGGTCCTATGGTAAGGATCTTTATAATTAACTTGTCTGAAATGTTTAAGGACACATTGGAGAAGGAACTGACTGAATTTTACTCATGCTCAAGACGGTGTTAGAAATTCCCTTGTTATTGTGCAAGTTTTTTCTGTTACACAATTGACTTTGCCTTTTTCCTTTAACCTATTATCATTGTTCACAAGATTGCCTGCTTGGCTATGCAATTCTAATATTTTATGTCAAAAAAGTCTGTCGTCCCCATCTAAATTAAATTGTGTTATTCTTCCTTCAACAGTTTGCAACATAACAATAACTTACTGTTGATTAGTTGGCTCATGTTTTGGTTGATTGAGAGGCGACTGTAATGTGTGCTTGTGGGTTCAAACAGTATTTGAAGTGAACGCATGCTATTTATTTGAGTTCGTTTAACAATTTAATGTCATGATTCGAATCATCTATTTTTTTGGCTCCTCATTCTAATGTTCTTTTAAACGGCTATCAAAATCTGTAATCGTTTAGGCATTTTATTATTGCTTTGAACATTTTATTGTTCATCAACAAAATTGTGTGTTATTTTTTTTAGTCTCATTTGGATAAACAAATATTCCAAATGTAAGTTAATTTTTTGTAAGGACGATATTCCAATTATGACCTATAAAACATGGATTTAATTGCAACAATTGCATGAAGAGCTTGGCTTGTCGTGACCAAATATTTGTGATTCAACTCCGTGACACCAGACCATATTGGTATTGCACGTACAAACAACATCCCATCAAACAACACAACTTATGGCTGCCTGCTTGGGTGAGTAAAGGAGATGCCATGGTTACATGTGTGCAGAGATTTTTCTTTTTCTTTTCGTATTTTAGATGTATATTTTTTGGTCAACTATTTTAATGTATTTGATTATATTGTTGAAGTTTATATAGTGAAATTTATTTATTTATTCTTTTGTTAACTGGCTTTCATTATTTTTTGTCTTTTTCTTTCCACGACCGATTGCAAGGGCCAGTGTTTGCTTTTTGAAGTTGGCCAATTGTTCATTTCACAACGAACTTATGGTGGTAAGCCCAGTAGAATTTTCCTTCCATAAGATAAGTGATAAGCCCCGTGTGGCTGAAATCGTGGCTTTCATTATTTTTTGTCTTTTTCTTTCCACGACCGATTGCAAGGGCCAGTGTTTGCTTTTTGAAGTTGGTCAATAGCCGTTCATTTCACAACGATCTTATGGTAGTAAGCCCAGTAGAATTTTCCTTCCATGAGATAAGTGATAAGCCCCGTGTGGCTGAAATCGTCACTAGATTCTTTTGGGTTTGGCTCATCTTTCCACCTTTTCTATATTCAAATTCGTTCTACCATTCTGAGCAACTAGTTTGGATACAAGGCCGGTTATGGCCTTACCAACAGACCTTTTGATTGGCAAAATTGTGACCATTCTTGAGAACGAAGCATCCTCCATAGGCGGTGTTCGTGATGAAATTGATGAACTCAAGCGGGAGCTTGTAATCATGAAGGCCTTCCTAAATGATGTTGAGGGCAAGAATGTACGCACCGAAGGCGGGAGGACATGGGTTGCAAGCGTCAGAGGCATGGCGTATGATGTTGAAGACATCATTGACGAGTTCATGTATCACATGTATGAGCGAGAATGTCATGATGGTCGATTTGCGTGGTTCCACCAAACTATTCGCATTCCACAGAATGTTTGGTTCAGACAAGAAATGTCAAAGAAGTTGCGGAAAATCTCAAGAAGGATTGAAGCCATTGCGAAGAGGAATGAGAGATACGTTGTCGGTGGATTAGAAGGAACAAGTAGTACTTGTGATGATGTTGGCAAATGGATGCGGAACCAAGCGGAATCTTCTCTTTTTATTAAGGAAGATGAGCTCGTAGGGATTGAAAGAAAGAAGCAACTATTGATCAATTGGTTGATGAATGGAGAGCAACAGCAAACGCTTATCTCTGTGGTGGGGATGGGCGGATCAGGGAAGACAACTTTAGTTGCGAGGACCTTCAACGACGAAAGGGTCAAGAAACAATTCCACTGTTGTGCTTGGCTAACTGTTTCACAAACTTATGTGATTGAGGACTTGTTTAGAAGCTTGATTAAGGAATTCCACGAAGCAAACAAGGAAAAGGTCCCTGCAGACATGAATTCCATGAGATATAGAGAATTGCTACAGGTGCTGGTCAATTACTTGGAGTCTAAAAGGTACATGGTTGTATTGGATGATGTGTGGGATATCGAACTTTGGAAAGAAATTAAGATAGCACTCCCAAATACACAGTTTGGAAGTCGAATCATGCTTACTACTCGAAGAGAAGATGTAGCATCCTATTGTTTTGGAGTACAAAGTCATATTCACCGCATTCAACCCCTCGAAAAGAATGATGCTTGGGAGCTATTCAGCCGCAAAGCATTCTCAGCTTCCCAGAATAAATGTTGTCCACCAGATCTTCAATCATTGGCTGAGGAACTTGTAAAAAAGTGTGAAGGCCTACCTCTGGCAGTCGAGGCTTTAGGTGGTCTGATGTCCAACAAGGAGCCATTCGAGTGGAAGCAAGTCTACAACAGCTTAGACTCGCATTTAACTAAGCCGTTGCCAGAGCGAGTGGAGAACATCTTATTTCTTAGTTTTGATGATTTACCATACCCATTGAAGCTCTGTTTTCTATACTGTTCCCTTTTCCCAGAAGACTATTCGATTCGAAGAAAGAGGCTCATTAGGTTGTGGATAGCTGAAGGGTTTGTTCAAGATGAAAAAGGCTCCACACCAGAAGAAGTTGCTGAGAGCTATCTTATGCAGCTCATTTTCCGTAGCATGCTACAGGTTGTTCAGAGGAATGTAAGTGGAAGGCCAAAAGCATGTAAGATGCACGACCTTATGCGGGAGCTTGCTCTGTCTAAATCAGAAAAAGAAAAGTTTGGTGCTGTATATGATGGAAAAGAAGTTATGGACGAAGTTCAAGTGCGCCGCTTGTCAATTCAAACCACTGGAGGTGAAATTAAACTAGGCACTGGTATGGCACAACTTCGTTCTTTTCTTGTGTTTGTTACTGACGTGTCCTCATCCTCTTCCTCGAATACATTGCCTTCTGGATGCAAATTGTTAAGGGTGCTAGATTTGGAATATGTTCCAATTGATATACTGCCAAAAGAACTTGCGTACTTATTCAATTTAAGATACTTAAATTTAAGGGGAACTCCAATTAAGAAGCTTCCTGAATCCATTGGAAAGCTCCGCAACCTTCAAACTTTGGATATCAGAGACTCAAAGATAGAGGTACTTCCAAGTGGAATTTCCAAGTTGCAAAACTTGCGCCATCTAATTATGTATCGTTACACTGAAGAACCTAATGACTTCAGATATGTGAATGGGACAAGATCACCATCAAATATATGTATGTTGAAGAAATTGCAAGTTTTGGCGTGTGTTGAATTAGATGGAAACATTGTTAGACTTGTGGGGAATATGACCCAACTTAGAAGGATTGGAATTACGAATGTAAAAGAAAGAGACGAGATGGACCTTTGTGCTTCAATTCAAAAGATGAAGCAACTTCACTACTTGTTTCTAATGACAAGCGATGAGGAGGAAGTTCTTCAAACAAACAAACTATGCCCACCTCCTCCCCACCTTCGAATAGTTATTTTGGTTGGCAAATTGGAAAATGTACCACGTTGGGTCTGCTCACTCCAGAGCCTCACACAGTTGAATCTGATTTGGTCTGGAATTGAAGATGATTTACTACCTTACATTGAAGCACTGCCCAATCTGGGAATGCTTACACTTGTTAATGCATATGCTGGCAGAGAGTTATGTTTCAGCAGAGGCTTTGTAAAGCTTACGGAATTGCATTTGTATGTTTGCCCCTTATTGAACAAGATAACTATAGAAAAAGGGGTGATGTCAAATCTCCAATCTTTATGGCTTGATAACTGCCCAGAACTAAACACAACGCCACAGGGTCTTCAATACCTCACTAAACTAAAAGAAATGAGATTTTGGCTTGTATCAAAGGAACTTAAGGATTCCATACGAGAAGGAGGTGTGGATCGTGAAAAGGTACAACACATCCCTGAGATCCGCCATTATTACCAAACATCACTAGGTATGCGTTATGAAAGGTTGTCCTAGTTGTTTTGGAAGGAGGTATGTAGGGTTTTAATTTAATTTTTTGGTCTCCTCGTTTTCTATGGAATCTTATGTAATTTGATTCGTGAGTGTGTTTGCTATTTGATTATGTAATGCCTTAAGAAGCACTAATCAGGATCTAATGCTCAATTTTATTCTGAGAGTTTGCTAATTATCTTCTGCTGCTCTGGAAAACTTTTAATTTGTTTCAATTTGTTTCCGTTTCAATTTGTTTGACGAAATTTTTTTGCAAGACCATCCCCTCTAATAGATTGCACTCTGCTCTATTTAGTAAGGAAGAGAGATGCGACATCATTGCTAATGCCATTCGCATTCTTGCCTGATAGCCTGAAAAAAGCAATACATATTTAGTGGAAGTTGGCTAGTATAATAAGTCCATTCCATCCTTCTATTAAAATATATTGAGTTATGAATTTAAGGTTTTAATATGATTTGTGAGCAATTGACAATTCATTCTGCTACTAATTTGAAGACTTTTTCAACATCACCAGAGTATAATAACAATGCAAGGCAGGGGAATGGTTGAATCGGGAAGAAAATTAAAACCCTGCCTACTCCATTTCCAAATCAGTTAGCAAGAAGAAGAGAACAAAATAAGCAAGTTGAATGAATATGGTTCTCTGGAGGAATCATTACTTGTAATCAAAGTTTTCCATATTTTAACATTATAATTTCCAGGTTCTGAAGTCTGTGAACTAGGATAACTCCAGTTCACTTTTGAAAATCAAAAGAGCTTCTAGAGGCAGAAACTAACTAAGAAAATAGAAAGCATGGCTGAACGGCCTGAGCTGCTTCAAATTATGAATGAGACTAATTAAAAGCTTAATTCTTGGCCAATATTGTGAAAAATAAAAAATAGAAAATAACCAGGTAGCTGGAGAAGTCACATGCTGGTGGTTTTTGAGAAGAATAAGGATGAATCTTCATTAATGGCTGAGACAATTAAATTATTTAAGAATCTTGTAGAACTGTGATGGTTTTTGAGAAGAATAAGCAACAGAATATGATTAATAATTGCAAGGAACTTGATGGATGAATCAGAAATCCAGAATTATTAGCTCCTGACTAGTAGTGTTTGTTGTTGCTTCTCCAATTTGAGTCTTTAAAGGGATATGACAAGACAGAGCAATACCATAATCAAAATAAAATAAATGCAAATATAACAGACTTGCAAATGAGAAGTGGCTTATATAACAGTAGTTAAAGGATCTAAAATGATTAAGCTTTGGAAAGTCAATGGAAGGACAGAAACTTACGGTGTGGGGAAAGAATCATGGGGCGAGCTTTCACCTTGTAGAAGCAGTCGCAGATGATGTTTCGTAAATTTGGTCAATTTCGCAGATGTGTTGTACCTTCGGATGATCCACGCCTCCTCGTAAATTTTCTATAATTTTCATTGGAACAGACCCCAATCTCAATGTTTCTAGACTCCGAAGGAATTCAAGACCATGTGGTAATGCCTTTAATTTCATGCAGCAATGAAGTACTAACAACTGGAGTTTCGGCATCACACCTTCTTTTATTGTTATATTTTTCAAGAAGGAGAAATTAAGCAACTCCAGATGTGTGAACTTTGCGAAGCCTATTTTGAAGCACAACTCATTCCCAACATAGGCATTAACAAGTATAAGCCTTCTAAGACAGGGCAGTGCTTCAACGTGTGGTAGTATATCTTCTTTAAGTCTGGACCAACGTAGACTGATATCTGTGAGGCTCCTGAGTGAAGCAAACCAACTTGGTACAGTTGCTAGTTTGCCACTCAAAAGAAGCCTTTGAAGGTGTGGAGGAGGACCTGGAAGAAAAGCAAGTGCATCGATTCGAAGAAATTCCTCTTCACTTGTTACCAATAAATACAGATAGCGAAGGAGCTTCATCTTTTGAATTGAAGCACAAAGGTTCATCTCATTACTTCCTTTTACAAAGGTTCATCTCATTACTTCCTTTTACAATGGTTTTGCGGAGCAAGCTTGCAAATCTACCCCCACTCTGCTCATGCATGTGGTACATGAACTTATCAATGATATCTTCAACATCATAGGCCAAATCTCTCACGCTAGCTACCCATGTCTTCTCTCCTTCCGCCTGCGGTTTCTTCCTCTCAACATCCTTTAGGAAGGATTTCATGCTTATAAGCTCTTGCTTAATCTCGTCAACTTGATCACGAACACCTACTATGGAGGATGCTTCGCTCTCAAGAATGCCTACAACTTTGCCAATCAAGAGATCGGTTGCAGCTGAGGCCATATTTGCTCTTCTACTGTATCTTCTTAATCATAAAATCATATGATCAGAAATGGAATTGCCCTTACCATCTCTCTAAGAAAATTTTGTGAGAGAATTTCTGGTGTGGTAAATCAAGACATAGAACAGAGTTGAAAACATAATTAAATGGAAATCAATAGATAACATTCCAAAATTAGAGTCGAGAGTGACATAACTATAGCAGAGTCCAAAATAATTTCAGTGACCATTTCAACTTTGTAGGGGATTCTGGTGCTCCATAAA